CTGTGTGGAGTTGATCGAAATTATAGAAATTAAAATAATTTTCTTTTTAGCCAAAACAATGAGAATACTAGAAGAGTAATTTTCGTCATAAATAATCATGCAAAGAATCCACTGGGATTCATGTATCTAACGTTATGTGCTAATTCATCGTTTTATTACACGCGAGATATTAACACGAAGCAAAGACAAACAGGTCTTGATAAATTTCTTTGTTTAAATATTCTCACTTCATATTTTCACTTACTGTTCAATGAAGAATGAAAATAGAAAAGAAAAAAAAACGATGGTATCAACAATAAAATCCCATTAGTGTGTTTTTGTTTTTCATAGTTACATTGTAAGAAGAAAGAAGCAAACTCTGGATACAGTTTTATTTACGTATCAGAAATAAAATGTAATGATAACTCTCGTGCTTTTGATAGTATCGATAGTTTTGTGATGAACATATAAATTCAGCGACTTCTAATTCTTATGACACACAATTGAATTATTATTTTTTGATAAATCGAAGACATTCTTTTCATTTTTAGATTTATTATTTATATATTTGATATAAATAAAAAGTCATTATCAAATTTATTTTCAATCAGAATTCGAATTCAAACTATTCAGATCAAAGCATGAGTCATGATCATAAATATAATTCAGCAACTGGTATCTTACAATCACTGTGACAATAAAACATCTACTCACTCAATACATTTTTTTATGATATGCTACTCAATTATGATCAATTTTCATCAAATCAAGTATCAAAGACAAAAATATTTCTAAAATATCCAGTGAAAGATCATATATACGTTATACTTATCAAATTTCAAACTTAATATTATGCCAATAAAGAAAATTTTACTACCTAATCAGTGGCAGAGTTTACATGAGTTTCTATATGAAATTTGTTCGATGATAGATTGATAGACACATATTGTTGTTATTCTGATGAAAATTTAATCTTTCTTTTTATCTTCGTCTACTTTTGGAGAATTAATTCATTTTCATAATCAAAAATAACCGAGATCTTTTTCTCACCAGAACAAAAAAATAAACAATGTGAGAAAGAAACGAAAATGGCAAAGAATAATAAATACAAGAAATGGCGTTGTTCGAATTATTCTTTTTTCGTTCATTTGTTTGCTAAAAAGATATTCTCAAGAACGAAATTTTTAGATTTGAGAGACTGCAGTAAATAGTATGTATTAATAATATTTTTCTTCAACGGAACGATTTATCTCACTCGTTAATACTCTGTCTGTTATTGTTATAGTTGCTGTAGACATCGAGTTGTGAAACTCGAAAACAACGTTTATTTCGAATTCATTATAACTCTATTGATATTTTCCGATAGTATCATGTAAATTGTTGGATTCAACAATGTATTCCCATATGCTCCATTACGATCAAACTGCGATCGCACTGTGACCAGTAATTGCGGAAAAAATCGACGTAGATATGGCACCATTGCATCGGAATACTCGATATCATTGACTATAATATCCATTAACAATTATCGAAAAAAAAATAAGTAACTAGAAAGGTCTTGTTTGTTCTTGTTCATTTATTAAAAGTTCTAATGCATATACATTATTTTCTAAGAAAGAGTTCACTCAAAAAAAAACCTACAAGAAATGAATACAAGTTCATATGGTAAAATGTAGATGAATGAAAAACGTTAACATGAGTATCAAGTAAAAGAAAATGAAAACTTAAATTGAATTGTTCTACGCATGCAGCTTGAGAAATATAAAAGCAAAACATATAAATAAGCAATTTATTATTCATTTGCTTATTCATTGATACATATTTTTCTTTTTGCACTGACTGTTCAAAGTTTAGTCATTATGATAGTATGAAGCCAAATCCAATTTCAAGTCCGTATTGCTTCTAAAAGGTACTGAAGGTCAATATAAAATGACAAATAAACATCAATATTTTTTGAATTAGAAAACTTCATGAATTTTATCTTGATGATTTGAGAGCTTCAAATAAATGATCTGTTATACTTAAGATAGGCCCTTTTATATTTCTCTATTGAACAATTATTGTTGGAGTTTGACAACAACGAACTAAAAAATTTAGATAAATATCTGTCATTGACTAGGTTTTCACCAACCGTACGAACAATTGATACTTGTACACTACCATCACTGCGGCATAGATGCAACGCAAATAATGATGAGTTTTTCTTTGTCAATACATTTTTTTTCCTTTCGCAGAAAAATGTCTTCAAAATAGAAGTCTTCGAGCTGATTTATTATTTTTTTAATAATATTGTGGTAATCTTTATATGTAAATAGAAAATTCTAGTTGACATTGTGACTCATGAATATGATGAACAAAAATTCGAGTATAGCTTTTTGACATGCATCATATGGAATTTGTTTTTCATAATTTTATGCATCGTCAAGATTGAACTAGTTTCTATAAAAAAAAAGATCTGCATAAAACATGAGGATATTTTCCTTAGCATTGTAAATCGAACGTTGAACTAATAAAGAAATTCACATTTCATAATGAAAAGAGCGAAATGAATGAATGAAATCTTCGAATTTTTTTCGTTCTTACCAAAAAGAGAAGAATAAACAATGAGGTAGACGAGGTATCAAATATAATGTCACTTGAGTTTTCATCTAGATGAAAAAAACAAATCGAAGTCGAAAAGAATAGTAATGTTCGAATTTTTTTGTTCGTTCCTTTGTTTACTGACTACTATATTTTCAATTTTGAAACCAGCCGAAGTTTCTTGTTGTGTCAACGAAACAAAAAAAAACACTCAGATTATATGTCGTCGAAAAATCGAGAAAAAAAAGAAAAGGGACCGACTATAGAAATAGAAACAATAATTTCTATATAAATATTAAAAATTCATTCACAATTCTCGTCTTTTATCAAGCAATAAGACGCACACAACATGAGCGGAAGAAAATTACCTGCTGCAATGCCATCAAGGCGTCGCATGGCTCAAAATTATCTGGTCATTTGGGTCGATGGCAACATCGACGAAAACAATGACGATTACGGAAGCACACTGGCACAACTACGCACAGTGGTCAGTGATGTGAACGTGTGCACGACACCAGAGCAGTGTGTCGAATTTCTCGATGAGATTGATGATGGCAAAGCCTTCATAATTTCATCGGGACCATTAGGACAAATCCTTGTAAATGACATTCACGGCATACCAAAAGTGGATGCCATTTACATTTTGTCACCTCAATCAAATCAATATGCGAATCATTGAAAGAGATGGCTCGCGAATGTGACCACGATACAATTGCGATGAGCTTCGTCCCGAAGCAAACAATGACAGAAGGAGCAACAGGCTCTAATCCAAAAAATCTTGATCAATTACCACCAACTTATATGTACTCGGTGATTTTTAAAGATATTATATTAGAAATCGATGACGATGGCGAAAAATCTATGAACACTTTAGTGAAGTTTTGCCGAAAAAAAAATATTTCTGAAACTGAAATAAGTGAATTTAAGAGTGAGTACCACAACAAATCACCAGTCTATTGGTATACGAAACAAATGTTTCTGTATGGTATGCTTAATCGTGCCTTACGAATGCTCGATATGGAGGGGATGACCAAATTAGGCTTTTTCATTAGAAGTCTTCATCTGCAACTGGAGCAATTACATAAGGAACAGTCGGTAGATTTCCAAAAAGAGTTCATTGTTTACCGTGGCCAGGGGCTCAGCCAACAAGACTTTCAAAATCTAATGGATTCAAAAGGTGGGCTCCTTTCATTCAACAACTTTTTATCGACTAGTAAGAAACAAAAAGTGGCCACATCATTTGTTCAACAGGTCCTAGAGAGAAATCCAGATATTGTGGGTGTTACGTTTATTATGACAATAGATCTAAGTAAAATATCAACTTCAATCACACCATTCGCTATGATTAATAAACAAAGTGCTCTTCCACGAGAACAAGAAATTCTATTTACAATGCACACTGTTTTTCGTGTTGGTGAAATTAAACAGACGGCTGAGAATAGTCGTCTTTGGGAAGTACAGTTGACTATTACTGACGAGAGTGATCCACAACTGGCTGGTCTTACTGATTGCATCAAAGACGAGATCAACGGTGAAGGATGGTATCGAATGGGCCAATTAATGCTCAAAGTGGGTCATTTCGATCAAGCTGAGGAACTCTACAATGAATTACTCGAGAATGCTTCTGATGATAGTGACCGGGCATACATCTATGATCAGCTTGGATGGTTA